AACCCTCAAGCGTGTACATCATCTTCTGTTGGAGGAATAGGTAATTTTGGTGTCATTCCCAAAACGTCAAATTTGAAACGCCAATAGGCAACGACCTGAAGACAAACAGCTTTAAAAAATTACACCAAGAAGTACAATCTTTTCGAAACATAAGGCCTGTTCATTGGCATGGGTGCGAAGACGTGTCGCTGGGTAGAGAGCGCGACGAATCTTCCGGTAAAGTCAGATATTTCAATTGTTTTCCCAACGTCTCCTGTTCAATATGTATACTATCAATATTCAATATATACTCTCACTAATCAAACAAAATGCAAGCGAAAGCAAAGCCACAAAAAGAAACAGTCGTGGTTTGGTGCGGCCTATACCCCAGAAAACAGTGTAATTATAAGAGCTGACCAATGAGAAGGTCGGGGAATTCGCGCAGAAAATGATGAAAGAACTGCTTTACAAAGCACTGGTCTTCGAAAATTCAAAAGCCATGATAAACTACGGAAGAAAAACATGAGTATTTCTTACCATTCTATCCCAAATATTCCCGAAATCATTTAACGCCGGTCTCACATCCAGAATCGTGAACAATTTCGAACGAGGATCTACTGAACCACCATCGTAATAATCGATAACGTATTGTACCTGAAGTGAACTTATTGTCATCATTGATTCTAACATCAGAGCAAACATGATGAAATAGATGGCAACAAACCTCCTTTACTCCACATCTATCAACTATCCAATCATGTCGATCAAATGGCAGATTATAGCCCAGGAACAAATTACGGAATCGAGCGCGAGGTGATATATTCTTCGCATCTCCTTTGAAACTCTTCAACTTTGGCTCGGCACACTCACTGAAAGGTGTTATTGAAAAATGCTTGTTAATATTGTCACAATAAATTTCGAATTTCTTGACGAGCAAAAAGGAGCTAACAGGGAAGGGGGAAGCATGTGGAACTCTTTGCGCAGAGCTAGCATTACCGTAATAGAGATGACGACCTCGCCTAGGTCTAAAAGAGGAAAGGTTCATACTCCTCGAATCGTCACCACTGTGCACCGCTACAAGGGCTCGTCCCCTACAGAAGGGCCAAGCAGAGGATATATTATCTTTTGTCGCGTTATCCGTCCTTCTAGTTAACTCTGTCATAAAAATGCAGTGACGACATATCCAATTAGCGTAAAAACGAAGTCGCGGGCCACAGTAGAATATTGCCGGTATAAACTCGGTTAGGGCGCGGTCGACTTAGAGCGGGAGGCATTCTTCGCGACTTCGCTGGCTTTTTCTTTCTGTCATGTTGAATTGTGAATGCCGAACCAACTTCGCTGAAGATCGTGAGGTAAGGGAAAAGAAAGAAAAGGAATTATGACGAGGTCGCAACGCTTGCTGCTGTACCACAACGCCTCGGCGCGCGCTCCACTGAGTGAGTGCGAGCGGGACTAGACGCGCGCGATCCAAACGGAAAGCACAAGCAGCTCGCGCTTCGGGCATTAGAAGGGGCATTGAGAATGCGGCGCTCCTGTTCCAGGTAAGGTCAAATTACGGAGATTCCTATAGTATGGCGGTATGTTTTGCACGACGACCCCTTCAATTATTCCTCCCTCGGAGGTTACTAGTGCCCAAGTCGCTCCACTAAATTTTTGAAGACCGCTCGAAACAGAACTAATGAGAATTTTCAATTAAAAAACTCACGGATGTAAGAGATTCTCCCACTTCAGCACTTCTCGCCATGCCTCTTCATTATTAGCGCGTTATGAATAAGAATAATGTTCTCCATGTCTTTCTGGGTTAACTGATCCTCCTGCCATCGCCACCCTTTCCTGAATTGCCTTTGTTATACAGATGGCCCTTTTATCTACATACTTTCCTAATAGTTGAACGTTTCAACAGCAGAGAGAAGGAATTGAAATTTAAAGGGTGAACCACATTTTACTAAAAAATAAGCTTTTGAACTCACTTTAACATAGCATTCCAAAACATTTGTGGACTGGGATACGTCCAAGTGTCATTTGTTCCCGCCTAAATACTCAGGAAGTATGTATCATTGTAGTATCGAAAATGTACTGAATCCATGTCATCATATCGCGGACTTCATGACACACATGCGCAGCCATGCAGTTCCTTTCTGGGCGTTTCATGTTCTTCATTTAGAATTTCTTAGCGATGTTTGCTAGAGGCGAGTGGAGAACATCATTTGTTTGGGCCCAGGAGAACAGGCATACGAGATTGACAAAAATGAACGGAATATGCTGTTACTAGCGTAAAAGGTTGCATGTTAACCCGCCGGGATGCTGAATTATAGCGATACGCAATGTACTGACCACCAAATCAATTCCGGATAGAATTGCTCTACAGCTTTCTGCTCAATTGCTCCAAACCAAGACGGCAAGACTCACCTTGGGAATCGTCGACTTTTCACGTTTCAACGGTAAAGGAAACGGTTGATCAGGCGCTGGCTTCTGGTTTGGGTGCTCCAGTTCCTGAAATGCAAACTTTACCTTTAACTTACCTTATCTTGATTAGTGCAGGGACCGATGCATCTGCACCAGGTACTCTCGTCGCATCATAATAATAATAACTAATGAAAGTAAACACTACGGCTACGAAAGGTCTATCGCTTCAGTCGCGAGCATTTGGCTTCACAGCAACACATTTTCAAATGAGCAAGACACGTCCTTTTTCTCAACTATGTGTACCCCCCCCTTCCGACAAACTAAAATTCGGAGCGAAAATCCAGAGGCTCTCAACAACCAACAAAACAGCTTAAATACAACTACTTCCCTTCAAGAACTCACGGCGCGAGAGAAACACGTTCAAGCGATGAGTGAGAGGGACCCTCAAGAGCAACGCGTCGTACATTCTTTTGATGTTTCAAGCGCCCCTTTTTTGAGGTATGTAGTCCTGCATGGAGGATGCGCTTTTTCACAGCTCAGAAATGCGTGAGGAAAGCGCCGTCCACTTGCGACGCAAACACAGCTCTGCAGACTGGCCACGGCAACACCCAACATTTATTTCTGAAGAAATATAGGTTGTTCTCTCCTAGCTCTCTCCGTTTTCAATGGCGAGGTGACAAGGGGAAGAAGCTAACACCAACAAGTCAGAACTTTCCCGACCCTGCCCTTTCTTCGCCTTCTGCACTTACAAGCGCGGCTCAGCATGACGGTACATGGCGCTACATGGAACATGTTCATGTGCGTTTTTTCTACCTTATCCTTCACTTTTGGCTCATTTACAACCATGCCATTAGAATTTGACCCGCACAGCTCAGAACGCGGGGCGACCTTTATGTTGAGCTGGTCAATTGAACTGCTGACTGTGCTCACGTGAAGCTAATCAAACTTTTCAATAAAACATAAGTAACAGAAGCAGAAACGCAAGAAAACCCAACAAGCGTTCTAAAATATTTGGGTAGTGGACATAAAGAAACATGACTCACATTATTCAAAGGATTGACTCCTCCATCGGCATTCACGGGACATCCTCCACCAGACTTTGGGCATTCTCCTTGATCTCCTCCTCAAACAGATAACGATTTTCAGAGCTGATCACTGCGAAAAATGAATAGACGCTGTTCCAGAAAGGCAGCACATTTCGGCGCGAAGCACCGTGGGACCTAAGCAACACCATTTTTTCGAGTTGCTTCACCCATCACGGGCGCTTCTAGCCCTCTAGGCCAAATGTCAAAATAGGTTCAAAGATGTTTTTGCATTTTCCAACACTAAGTTCCCGATCTACTGGAGCAGCGTTAGGAAGTGAATTGACCAAGATTACCACCCTTTAATTTCCATTACTTGAGGACAAAAAAATGAATTGGAAATTGGAAACGAACCTACAGCAGCCATAGATCTACGGGCATGCCTCAGCCTTTCCGCTTCGGACGTGAACACAGTTCCACCATGTTCAGCATGTTTAGGACATTCTGGAGGTGGAACCTGGAAGTTGGCCAGTTTCAAATGGTACTAGTTAGTACTACATGCACAGCTGAGACCTCACTGTTCAAGAACTTAGACCTATCCCTTGAGAAAGAGCCTGATTATTCAGCAAGAATGTTCGGAAGAGAAACTCACTTGCTGGGCCTGAGAAGACTGCCCTGAGCCCATTGTGGGGTACCTGAAAATCACAGTAAAAAATGAAATCCTCAATCTACTTCAGAGCTTCAGCATACGCCAGTTGAGCGCTGACCATGAGTGGTAACGCGGTCAGCAATATCAGAACGCGAAACCATCCGCTAGGGAGGTTGTGAAATCGCCTTTTCTGTGAACTGAAGTAACCACTATACTGAAGATACGGCGACAAAGGAGTCAATGGAAACCGATTGACTTTAAGTGTCGGATTGACCATCCCCATACGTATACTCGCCTACTCGCGCATTCTCCAGAATCGACGATTCTCCTAGGTCACCGACTGTCCCCATTCCCAAAGTATGAACGCGGTCTCACCACTTCTCAAGCAGTTCTACTGAGGAATGAACGGATAGCGAATAAAAGCGACAAAATAGCGGTGTCAGGAATTAGATGAGCAGAAAGGAAGCGAAAAGCAGTAGGGAAAGGACTCTAGAATTTTCAAAATTCAAGGGTACTCAAAGCTATGCATCTGGAATCGTCTAGAATCTCAACAACTGGAAAACGAAATATAAATGGCAAGAAAAACACTATAAAACAGCGATGGTTCATTTCGTCCCCACCCTTATATAATACAACCACTATTACAGCTCAAGAACTGGGACTCCACAGCGACGTGGGGTTGACGATATTAAACGACAAACGGAAGGAGTGGACAAAAATATTATGGCAAATTGATGCGCAGACAAAA